CAAGGGCTGACGTTCCCCCTTTTAATTGGTCCTCTTGCCTATACGGCGCGCGATCCGTTACAAAAGCGACGCGTCGAAACAGCAACTCGCGACGATAAAGATCACGTATGAAGGAGGCGTCACGTCGACAACCATCATTGCCATTAAACGCTTCAATATGCGGCACCTCTAAAGCTCGTATTGTTGGGTCGCATGCGTTACAATGCGCGTCACCGTTGGTAAAAAAAAAAAAAAAGGAATTCGCGAATTCGCGGCTGTCGCGGTTCTTTATGCTGAAAAGGAGGAATCTTTAAATGGTAGACCCGTGCCTCCGAAGAAAACAAATGCTGAGGGGGAAAATCACTTTATCCATCGGTTTATTTGGGAAGAGTCTGCACCTTAGAAGAGAACTTTATAACATTAAGCTGCTGCATCTGGGCATGGTTTATACAAATGAAACTTTATCCATGCAAAATATTTTTAAGGATTTGCCTGCTTTTTTAATTTATTTTGAATGCATTTCTTTTATTTCATTACAATAAGATTCTGCATTAATTGTACACTCAAAGAGTAGCAAATGATAAACGAGTTCGTTTTCTAATGAAAAATCACGAGCCTTGAATTTTGCAAGCCATCGTTCAATTGTTTTAATATTTCTATAATCTTCTTCAAATGCCAACTTTATGTTTTCAATTTGGATATCGCAAGTAGACAACCAACGACACAGTCAATAGATCGTGGTAGGTAAACACAGAAATTAAAAAGCTTACGAAAAAGTATTAACGTCCTCTCGAGAAGTATTAGACGTTTAAGTATCGGAAGAGTGTACAGGAAAGATTAGCGAAAGTCCTCTCGAACCCGATTAAATTCTGTTATTATACTCCACTCTGCCGCGAACGGTTTCGCTGGATGGAAAGAAGAATACTTCTAGAGGTTGGTCGTTGGCCGCCCTTTCTCTCGTGGAGAAAATCTCATGCGGGTGGCAAGGATCGCGAAAAACGCGAGGTAACGATTTCCGTTCGCGGCAAGAGCCAATTATTCCCTCCTCGAAGACACCCCGCATCTTCGTCTCCTTTCTAACCACCACCTCCCTCGCTGTTTCTCTTTTTTTCGGTGGCAAAAGCAGCTCGTAATTAGATGCTAATAATCAGCACCCTCCAGGAGGATCACGCTCTTTTCGTCTGTCTCTGTCGTTCTCTCTGTTTCTCTCTCGACGTCGCCCCGTTGCAACGGGGCGCAAGAAAACCCAAGCCCCTGAAGAGCTTATTATTATCCTAATTATACAATACTATAATGAATGACTTCGCGGCTCACCCTCTAGCCCTTACTCTCACTATCTTCCTCCTGTTCTCGCTGTCTCCCTCTCGCTCCTTCTCCTTTCTTCTCGCTCACCGTTGCTCTTCTCCTCTGCACTTGGTGGTCGAAGAGTGGCAATTCTAGCACTCGGGCTTTTTGTCAAACCGACTACGGAACTAGTGCCGTCTCCCTCGCGCCCTTACACCCTATTATGCGACCAGCCTCGTCTCTCGTCCCGTTTTCTCTCTGTCTCCTGGTGTCTGTTTTAATTAGGCACTTCGCGGATATATATAAGTATCTACCATGCGGTATTACGTAGGTACATAACCCAGCCGAGCCCAAGCCCAGCCCAGACCTAGCCCAGTCTGCCTACCGTATTCCGCCTATACTCGGCGATCCGACGAGCTTGAATGCGGTTGATGGGTGGTTGAGTAAGGATTATAGACGCAGGTGACACATACACGTTACCTCCGAGAGGCTGAAGTCGGGGGTGGCTCGGTCCTGATGGGTGGGTGCTGGTGACGGTTCAAGGAGACGTTGAAATAGAGAGACGGAAAGAGAGAGACCGCGCGAAAGGGAGAGCAAAACCGGGTAGGGAGAAAGTGAAATGCGAACGCGTTACGTACGGAGGGAGAGAGAGCGAGAGAAAGGGCGCGGGACACGATTCTGCAGAGACACACTCCTCTTTCAATTCTCCTCTCGTGTGCATAACCTTCTCTGACTGACTGCTGATAAGAGCACGCGAAATTGTCTTAATTGGCGAGAGAGCCAATCTGGAGTGATCGAATGAGAAGAGCCTCTCGCGTCTCTGCCACCTGACTCTCCTCCTCTTGCCCTTTCTTCGGGTCGCCACGTATAGATCGGGACGCGACGCACGAAAGATCCCATTGTTTTCTTCCGTTGGTTCGAGTGCGTTCGATCGACGAGTGCCACTCCGGCCGGGTGATCGCGCTTTCGACGTTCCCTATCGCCTGGTCTTACTCGTTACCTGGAGCGTCGATCGAGACTTCTGCGCCCGATGGTCTTATTAATCACCGAGGTTTCAACTATCGGCAAGGCACAGCTATCGATATGTGTAATGTTCGTGCCCGCAACGCTTCTTCTAAGGCTGCTGGTCTCGTTATTACCCAGGATTTGAACGTTGGAAAGATGCTGTTATTAATACAGAAAACGATAATATTCAATAACACATACAAGATATACAAATAATAAAATTAATGAATGAAATTCAATTCATTGAATGAAATGAAATTTCACTTGGCATAAATGCATAAACAGCGAACCAAAAGATCGCCAACTAAGCGGGTGCTTCTAACATACGCATCAAACCAGTAGATGAAAAGCTAAACTTCGAAGCTGTGGAAGAACATCTTCCAAGAAAATAAGGACGAGCCTAAGTGAATATTATCTGCACGACGATATCTCGCTGGGAAACGACGACGAATGTGGAAAACGTTCGTCGATTCTCTATTTGACGAGTCGCGCGCGAGTCCGCCAGGCGGAAGCAATCTTAAAAATTGCTCCCAACGGCACCAAGCGAAGACCAAGACCCGAAGGTTGAACTGGTTGCCTCGCATTGTCGAGCATTCAGGAACCTCGAGTTATACAAGCCGCAGTAGCACTACCGGCTGGTTTTCCCGTTGAACCGTACTTCTTTCCATCCCCTCGGGATCCAAAGTGCAAGATCAACCTGACTGCCATTCTCGCTGCCATTCCGGCTTGCTACTCTAGGATACTTCCACCACTCTGGGGCCGACTTCTGTGTGCGTTTGAGGGTGAGGAGGATAGGGACCCCGGAAAGAAAGATCAAGAGAAGAATGGAAAAATATCCGGGCAAGTAGCAGACCCCGCTTACCCGTTCTCGGCTCTCTCGGTCGTCGCGTCAAGTCGTTGCCGTGTTTACCTCGCTCGACTTGCTCGCTCGCGGTACGGAAAAATACGAGGGCTTCTACTTCTTCGTTGTCATCTTTCCGCGTCTTACGCCCCCAACCGCCGAGAGATTTCCTGGCTCTCCTTCCCTCTTAACTGTGATCGAAACCGCTGCGGAAGAACAATGGTCTAGAGAAGTAAATGTATCTCATTCTCAGCTGAGAGTTATTACCGAGGCTGGCGAGGTCGATGGTAGGAGGTATCATTTGTGGCGAATGATAAACTATAAGTTCGAGATTAAGTTGCTGTAAAATATTCATTTATTTTTTTTTTTTTTTTTTTAAACTACGTGTGAAAGAGAATATCGAAAAGTTAATCGAGAGGAAAATACCTATCTACCTAGGAACATACCTAGGAAAACTATTTGTAAGCAATGAAAAATATCGCGTATGTCTTTCGAACACAGTATACATTACAGAAGGTCTTTAGAAGAAATTCTTGTATCCAAGTTAACCATTCCTCGCAATTTCTCAGAAATGTTAGGCCCGTGTTTCAGGGAATCCAAGATGAAAAATTCCTCTAAATGCCTCTCCAGTAATCATATAAACGTTTCGTGCACAATTTTCCGCGCAGACATCGAATCGCGCAAGATCGCACAGGACGCAATGGAATCATTAAACGATGCATCTCGCCGCGTTTTACACGCGCCTTACTCGCTCGCGAGTCCCGGTACGCCCCTTTCGCGATAAAGCGAACGTTCCCGGCATGGAAACTCGGCGTTTCAATTGAAAGAAAATAATTAATTTCTTAATCAGTGGGACTCGCATTGAATTCCAGCGCGCAAAGACGTCGCACAAAGGGCCGCCGGGCGTTCAAAGTTGCATTCGTTTCTCTGGCGGCAACTGCGCCCTGGCAACCATACTCCTTTCCTCAGTTTTCGGTGAGATCCACCGAAGCGGATCCACCCCTTCGCGGCCGCCCCCTTCTCGGCTCCCCGCATGGAAGGCTCGGGTCACTATTACTATACAAATTACCCGCCAATTAGTGACTTGTGCTTGTTTTAACTGCGTTAATTAATGAACGTAAACGGCAAACTTGACGGGCGCTCGATTTTTTTTTTCCTTTCCGGAGCAAGGAAAGGAGAAAAAGCGCGACGCACCCGCCGCGATCCCGCAAATGTTTGGAGTGAGCGCGTGCGCCGCAGGACGCCTGTGGAAAGTCGACGGTTGCCTCGAACGAGGGTGTCGAGATCTTCTTGGACGATACACTGTAACACGTTCTTAATAGTCTCTTTGAACCGCGTCGCTTGCCAGCCGACGATGAGTTGTACACACCTCTTTGCGACTCTCTCCCCCTAGCCGCCTCCTTCATCTTCTCCCGCTTGCATCAGACCACTTTTAGTATCGACCCTTAATTAATTATCGGTAGTGCATTAGCATTCTCCGTTACGCGAGAATTAACGTCGAGCATAGTGGCCGACGGTTCCCAAGGAAAAAATTATTTCCTCTCTTTCGTTGGCTCCGACGCTCGACGCTTGAGGGATTCCTTCGTTCTGGGGCGAGTTGGACGCCCGCGGAACGAGGGTGGGCCTTTGCGGGGACGTTAATTAACATGTGGTCTGAGGATCTATTGTTCGGCTAATAAGGAAATTGCTGTTTTACATGTCGCTGGGCATTGATAAACATTGATACTTTCTTCGGAATGAATTCTGAACTCTCAAACAGTGACGTAATTATTCGTAGAGGAATGTTGTTAGAATAAGTGCAGACAGAAACAGTGGTGGGAAGATCTACCCTAATATAATCGAAAAAGATTGTTTGATTATCGTCTGATTAATTTGCTTCTTTTTCTTCCAGGGAGTTCTACTACATCCAAATGGAGAAATACGCGAGACAAGCGGTTTCGGAGGGTGTGAAGAACGTCGACGACCTTCGAGTCGGTGGTGACTCGGAAATTTATCGGGTTCTCAACCTCCACTACAACCGAAACAACCACATCGAGGTAAGGAATCTTCCTGATACTATCTCGAAACAAAGATCATGCACTGCAATCTCTATTAACGAAATTCCTCGTCATATTTAAAATAATCTTTTCGCCAACTTTTCGTTACATCTTTCTACTTCACTAAAACAAACAAAGACGATATAAGACTTCAAGTAATTAGAATCAATCGCGATGCACTATGGCACGTCAATGTCGATATCTTCACGAGTATACCAACGCTAGTAGAAACAGCGAGTAATAGTCAGACATTCCTGTCAAGTCATACTGAAACATACAATAGATTTCAAAGACGCGAACCAATACCTTGAATCATGTCAATGTTTCCACGAGCATACCAACGCTAGTAGAAACAGCGAGCAATGGTCAGACATACCCGTCAAGTCGTACTGAAACATACAACGAGTTTCAAAAACGCGAATTCGAAAAGAACTCGTTCACACCTCCTCCTAACCGGCTCGTTTCCTCGGGAATCACTCTACTTTCCATTGTGGGACATAATTTATTTTCGTCACCGGTAACGACGCCGATTGTATTTGCAGCGGTATTTGTATTTGACGGCGTGTGTGCACACGTAATGCAGCTATTTAATATTATTTAACGAGTCTCTGCTGAAACCTGGAGGCTCCATTCTTCCCGCCGCGGTTACAATTGTGGGCCGCTTGACGCGTAATTAATTACTCGTGTTCGTTAATAACCCAAACGTACTAATTATAAGTGGAAACTCTCAGCGCGCGCTCGCGTCGCTCGTTAAGCGATACGTAACATCGCTTTAATTCTTCGGATTCACGGCTCCTTCGGTGGACCGTAATGAACGCGGAGAAATTATTTTTCTCGTTTGTGCAACCAGATTTCCGCGTTCCCATCAGCAAACGCTCTCTGTCGATTAAATCTTTGACGCCCACGTACCTGCCTCCATCGCTTTTGGTTTCGATTTCGCGCCAACGTCAGCGTGCGCGTCGCAAAAATGACGTTAACGTTGCTATTTCTCATGTCGGAAAATCTAGCAAGAAATTGGTAACTACCTGTTTCGATGACTCGGAATTCAGGTGACAATTATCTTGATTGATCTTAGAAAAACGTGATAGCTATTACGATTTCCAAGTTCTTTCGATGGCCAAGAATTTATAGGTAATTTGTCAACTAGGTGCTAGTCAATTCTGTAAGGAGAATAGAAATCTAAATTATTCCCATGAAGTATTTCCATCCAATTCATGTTTACTTCTTCTAAATTTCAATTATAATAAATACGTACCTTGAATCACGGAAATGTTTGTACTTCCTCAACTGCTGACATCTCACGGGATCTTTGTCAGTAAAACTACACAGTGTATTATTTTTATATACAAGATACGCTTTTTTTAAATAACAGCTTACTTGAGAATTTAAATAGCAGTCACAAAAATATTTACAATTGTATGAATTTTAATAGCGAATCTGAATAGAATTCAATATTTTATTGCGTCCAGATTTAATGACACTTTTCAATATTGAATTTCTACTACATTGGCTGTTTATTTTTCATAAAAGTATATATTAATCGAAAGCTCAATAATAATTATCGTTAATCGTGCATACATCGTCACCGAGAATGAATAATTTGTCTAAAGAAGAGACTGCATTTAAATGTAACCTCGTTATAGTTAAATGATACAGTACGAACATCGATTCTAAAAATATATCATAGTATCTCGAAGTTGGCAGTCGATAGAGTACGAACTTTTCCAAATGTACGTGTTTTTTAATATATTATAATAGTTTTTTGTAAACAAAAGGGTTGATACCCGTTGAAGTGAGCAAATAAATGAAATAAAGTGTCTGTACAGGGTCTATGTTTGCAGGTACCGAGCAACTTCAGGTACGTCGTCGAGCAGACGCTGAAGGAGTTCTTCAAGGCGATCCAGGGCGGCAAGGACACCGAGCAGAGCTGGAAGAAGTCCATCTACAAGGTGATCTCGAGGCTGGACGACCCGGTGCCGGAGTACTTCAAAACCCCGAACTTCCTGGAGCAGCTCGAATGAATCAGGAGGTCGCGTGGCTCTTGCTCTTCGTGGTGCGCGGGCTCATCAGCGCTCGTCGGCTCCAGGTAAACAAATAAACCAAAACAAACGGAAACAGAGAGAAGAAGGAACGGCCAGCGAGGAAGGATCGCATCCGTCAGGAGGTACACGTCCTTCGCGTGAAGCCGCGTTCAGGTATCCTTAAACTAACATATCGCAGAACGGGCGTGAGAGAGAGAGAGAACGTGCGAGAGCGTTTAGGGGAGATCAACGAAGGAAGAAACCGAAGATGCAGCGCTCCGGATGCGCGAATCGCCGGCGCGTGATCGAGGGAAGAACCGAAACACTCGACGCACGAAGGCATCATCGATCTTCTCGCCAAGGGACGATGAGGAGTGCCGACGAAGGATCAGGCTGTGACCTAATCACGAGACGCGAACGTCCCCCGCGCGAGACGGGGGTGGATCGTTGCTTTTATTCGTAGCTTCGTGCCTTCGATTCCTCGCCGAGCGTCCCCGTGTCTCGGCAACCTCGAGTTAACTAAACACGTCGAGGCTGCGGAACCGGTCCACCCTGTTCTCGTCGCGGGCGGACATCAACCGATATATAAAAAATTAAAAGAACGACGGTCTTGGGAGAAATGCGAAGAAAACAGGACGATAGAGTGGTCAACGAACGGCAAGGATTAAACACACACACTCACACACATTAGCTTCGAGCGACGAGTATAGTTTGGATTTGTTGCGTACGGTTCAAGTTTACCGCCTAATTTCTAAGAACACTCTCGTTTCCGGGACTAGGGACGTAAGGAACGCTTCGAACCGCGAGCGAAGACCGAGCGACGGCTTGAAACGCGCGAGGATCGACGATGTTTTACGGTACTGTTTGTCCATGTTCTCGAAGTGCCGATAATTATTGTCTAACGGCGGGAGCGAGATCCGCTGGACGGATCCTCCGCAGCTTCCGGTTGAGAGGCAGAAGAGGAGCCCTTCTCGTGGATCTTCGGGAACGACTCGCGATCGAACGCGTCGACTTTCGTCGCGAGTCGTTCCGTGCGCGCAAGAAACAACGATGGCCAGTTTCGCACGGTATTTTCGTCAACGCTGTACCTCGTGGTTTTTCTTTTTTCAACGGACCTCGTGTATCGTCCTCGCGCGCAGCAATCGCGTCGCTCGATCGTCGTCCCCGGAAACCATGTTTTCTTTCTAGCGCGCTCGCAACGACGAGCAGAGACTCGCTCCCGACGCGTCGCTGCGAGCGGATTCGAGGACTTCTTATTCCCTTAAACAGAAGCAACCATCGTTCGAACGAAACAATCAACTGGGATCTCGATCCTTTCTTCTTAAGTTGTACATAATTATTTGATGAATATCGCACCGTGCTAAAGTCGAACGGCGGGTTCGAGATCGACCGTGAATCAATGCTTGGCTCGATCGAACGGGAAAATTGATAATGTATATCCTACGGTGAGAATTCCTACGATAATTCTGGCAGAGAGCCTCGACATTCCACATCGGACGAGCGTGACGCGAACATCGAACGCTCGGGCGTAAACGCAACGCGATTCGGGAGTAATCGAAAACCGTGGCTGGCGTTATTTTTCATTTCTCTCGGCGCGGGGGAAGGGATTATCACCTTTGTCGTTGCAACGGTGTTTTGCACTCGGTCCGAGAACTTCGCTCGCCGACGCGGGAAAACGATTATAACGATGGGTGGGATGGAAACGAAGCCAGAGAAATCGCGTTGCATTCGAACGAGAGAAACGGTGCGCGGATCACACATCACGCGCGAACATTTTATGTAGAAGATGTTTTTATTAATGGTTAGTTGATATAAACGAGGTTAGACTAGTCGCAGAGTGACAGGAGTACGAGTGGCAGGGACGACAAAAGGGAAGGGCGTGTATTTGGAAACCGGATCCAAGCACCGGCGGCTTTCTTAAGCGTTAGACGATTTAATGATAAAGAAGAAGAAAAAAAAAAAAATGAATTGATGATAGAGATGATAATAATAAGGGAAACGAAATCACCGCGCGAAGTGTGTGGGGGAGATAAATTTGAGAGAAAAAAAGTTAAATAACCGCGAGCCGGTGCGTAACCATATACAAAGTAGATTATTATAAAAACGTATATATATATACACATATATATAGAAATATATATATGAAGAAATTTGAAGGAGTATACATATATATATATATATATATACATGTAATTGCGTGAAATTATATGTATATATATTAGAGACTTATGAAACGAAAGACGGATGTTGGCGCGATGAAAAATTGCGCAAAAAGAATGTGTGACAGAGGGTTAGACGCCCGTGTCCCCTCTTATTCCTCTTGTACCCGACCTATTACATGAAGACACACGCGCACGCACACACCTCCATACCACACCTATAGACACACACACAGACACACCGTACACGCATACACACGCGACACTCGACACGTTTGCACAACGATGTGCTCGTACATCGTGCATACCACGGTTTACACGCACTCCGGCAAGCGCGAGAAATCAGTTGCCGACGCCAAAGTACGCGTTCTTCTTACCCGCAGAAGTTTCTTTTCCGCTAGACGGTCTGTAGATAATTTATCGTACGGTAAAATAATTATTATTATAAATATATCACGGGTGGTAGCGAGTCCTTGTAACTTAACCTACTTACCTTCTTTCATTATTACCTACCATTATTATTCTCGCTATTATGTGCACTATTATTATTATTATTATTATTATTATTATTATTATTATTATTATTATTAT